TTGTCACTTCAGACGCTGAAGCTCAAGTGGTTTCCATGGAGATACTTTCTCCAGGAGACGCCAGCCACTCTCTAATTTTTTTGTCCCTGATCATGACAACCTAAAGCTTTTAGTGCCTTTTATTCGGGGTGGGGGGAGTAACGTTAGATAACCTCAGTTCATTTTTGCATGCATTTAACCGTGTGTTTTATTTGCAGTTGGTTCTAAAGTCTATAATTTTATGTATTTTGAGATGTAATAAATAAGAACCACAACTACCTCGTTTATATTCTGTAGTGAAAAAAAACAAGGCTTTATTGTTTCATCTTTTTTTCTACCTGCTCAATGGCACAGACAAGGAATTCGAGGCTAAAGAATGCAGATCTCATTGTTCTCAAAACTGTCTTAGTTCCACTTACTGTACTTAAGCACCTGCCTTGAAACATCCATCAATTTTTCACATTCTGTAAAGGCAACCAGAAATCACCTTCTGACAGAAGTGTTTTAAAGCCCAGTGGCACTGTGCAGGATTTCACCAGTGTTCCTGGAATGGCGCTCACCATTCTCTCTGGGCTGGCCGGGCCCCTGAGGGGTCGGTGTCTGGGCCCACGGTGCTGGGTTTCTGTTCTTCTGCGGCACTGGTTCCGAGTCCTCCATTTACGGAATCAGCCTTTGCCACATGAATAAACGTCTCTTCCTGCCCAGTTTCTGCAGCCAGAGCCTTTCAATGTCACCGGCCCCCCGAGAGAGCCCCCGAGCACAGAGAAACTGTGGGGCTGAGTCAGTGGGGCGCTCGGTGATGCTGGCAATCAGAGACAGGTCAGCTCGGTGTTTGCAAGCGGTTCCTGGAGCCAGTTTCTTGGTTCAAGCCCTGGCTCCCCCATTACCGTCATGGGGTCTCAGACACGTTTTTAGCTTCCTAAGTGGCATGAATATGCCCATCCCACATGGGGATGGAATGAATTAATGCAATAAAGGACTTAAAACAGGGCCTGACTTGCAGGAAGTGCTATTATTATTACTTCCTAAACAGCTTGTTCCCAAAATTGAATTTCATGTCAACTGACTCTGCACCGCACAAGAGAAGGGAAACCGTTCAGGTCGATGCCACCGTAACAAACCACCCACCGTCCTGGGCTCCGGGGAGTTTCGTGTGTGAGGAACGTGCAGTCAGTGCAATTGACTACGTGTAATTTCACGTAATTCTAGAATTCAGAGCTTCACTAGTCGTCACCTATAAACACCCCCCACCCCGTCGCTGGCGGCCTCGGTTGTGTACGGCGCCCCCATCTGGGCGGTGGGGTTCAGGGTGGGTCACGGGCACTCGAGCCCCGGTTGTCCCAGCTGCCCAGGGAAGGACACCGCACTCGCCCCTGCCCAGCTTGCAGACAGACAGAAGAGTGCCAGACAGACTGTCCTTCGCTTTCCTGGTGAGTCCCTCCAGGAAGGCAGCAAAGGGAAGGGCAGCCCGCCTTAGCGGTGGGATAAAGCGGCCATGTTTCCGATTCTTGGGTCGGGAGGAAGGTGCATTCCTTCTCTCCCAGTCCTAGTGTCTGACCATGTTGTGGTGTCCGTACAGTTACGGGGAGCAACTCCCCCTGGGCCTGCTCTGGCAGATACGTGGGCTGTTACTTCCGTCCCCCCCACCCCCACCCTGAAGACAGAGGGACCCGAGCTCTCAGACTGCCCACACACGGAGGGCAGAGGAAGGCCTCTCTGTGCGTTGAAGAGCAACCCTGGTCCGTGTCTGCACACACGCAGGTCTGGGACGCATCTGCCTTCTCTGGCTGAGGAGGACCGTGGTGCATTCATGGGCTCTGAAGCCTCAGCCAGGCTGCTTCACGAGCAAGTTCACGGGCGAAGACTCTCTAATCCTCCGTTCCTGCAGGAACACATGCTGTCTGTCCCGAGCAGGGAGCGGAGGGGTGGGACAGAGGAAGCACGGACTACGGACTAACAGCGATGACCGAGCAAACAGCAAGGGAGATGAGCAGACACACACACTTCCAGAAGACGCTAAATCAGAGCTCTTTGCTGCAAGGCTGGTCTCGAGACCGTGAATATCTAAGTCTCCTTTGAACTGCTCACTGCGTTTCCCAGAGATGCCTTGGTCCTGCAGCACCACCAAATTGCCCTGCTCTCCTAGCAAACTCGGGGGTGGGCTGGGGCAGGGAAGTCGGCCGCAGAACGGAGCGTGTGTCAAGGGTGAGCTCTGCGGTCTGGGCCCCGGCGGGTGCCTAGGTATCCACGTTTCTCTGTGCGTGCGTTTCCTAGAGGCTCTTGGTATTCAAGAGAAAGGAGAGTTACAGTGAAACCATTTGAAATGTCTGTTAAACCGGCTGTCACTCTGCTTGCCAGGGTGAAGTGGATTTGCCTCAAGGAAGTAAGCACTCACGTGCATTAAGACAGCCAGGCTCGAGTGTAAATAAGGCCATGAACACAGGGATGCTCGTGCAGAAACCAGAAGCCTGCTCTTGCATTGCATGAGGCCTTCTCTTGTACCCGCGGGTTTCCCAGCCATTGTTCTCGGAGAGTAACCAAAGGCTAGTGGACACGGGACTCGCTAGTAGCCGTTCCGTATTAAAGACACTCATCTCCTTTGTTCAGAAGAAGGAGAATGTTGCCTTGCTTTTTAAGGGTCGGGTTGAACTCAGGCAGCTGACTTCCAAACTCAGGCCAGCGTGCAAGACCACTGTTAGAAGAGGCCGCACAAACACGTACACACCTCGTAGTGGCCGGGTTTCCGTTGCACCAGTCAGCGAACATCAGTACGCTCTGCTCTTCGACTGCACTGTGTGTCACTGGGACCACGGACACAGTGAAGACCGGCCCCTGCCTTTGAGAGGGTGGCCACTGTACCGGAGTGACAAGAATTAAGATGACAGCCATGGAAAAGAGGGTCAGACACGTAATGGGAGGTGGCCGAGGACAGCCTCGGGGAGGAGGTGACATTTGATGGACAGAGAGCCATGTGCGTGAGCCAAGGCACGCCACCCGAGCACCAGGGGTGGGTGCGGCTGGACTGCCGAGAGGGGGAGGCAGCTCCGTGGGGGAGGAGGTGGGAGAAACTGCAGCCGGAGGGAAGCCTCGCTCGTTCGGCAGAGAGTTCGGATTTTATACCAAAGGCAGCCCTGGGGTATTTTGAGTGCCCTCTGCCAGCCCTTGTCATTCTCCTCCGTCATCTCGGGTTACAGCCCCTCCATGGCTGTTACCTCGGTAACTTCTAGGGAACCAGGAGAGGCCTCTCAGTCTCTCTCAAAATCTGCATCCTCTGCAGTTTTGTGGGTGCGGACCATAAAGCAGGTTTTGGAGAAGAGAGAATCTGTGCTGTGTTCTACCATTCTCATGACCTGAAGCGGAAAAGCAACCAGTTTCCTAGTTTTGTGGATATTACACATTATCACAGAATTACCACTGTGAATTTCTGTCCCTATCCTTAATGTGTTTTGAAGGTTCTTATTATTTAAAGGAGGACCAGAGATTTCTGTGTTTTTCTCAAAAGCAGCCAAGAACTACGACCCTACTCACAAAACACCCGAACGTGTAGTGACCGCGGTGTCCTGGAGACACCTCAGACTCAGTTTGTCCCCATCAAAGCAAACGTTTCTCCCCCGAAAGAGGCTCCTCCTCTCACAGGCCCCGCCCACCCTGACCGACCGAGGCTGCTCCCTGCACAGCCCACCTGGCACCCCACCTATGTCACCAGATCGAGGTGGGGTTAGAACCGTCGAGTGACACTGAAAAGTCTCTTCCGCGCCCACCAGTTAAAGACTTGGAGGAACATGGAAAGTCCGGGGACTCCGAGTTCAGCTCTCTGTCATTCGTGCCTTGCTTAGCGTCTGTGGTTCTAATCCCATCAGCAGGCTTGAGTGGTACTGACAGCTGAGCTAATTTGGGACATGATACATGTAGGAAGGGAAATGTTCCCGGGCCTCAGGAAGAATTTCAAGCCCCACAGAGAAGGGATCCAAAGGCGCATGTTGGTAGGATCCAGCGTCTTCCCTGGGGCGCAGGATTTTTTTAGGACAAAGGAGGAGGAAGGACTCTGCCTGGTTTGGGTCCTCATCTTGGCGTCCTTGGAAGTCTGTAGCTCCGGAAGTAAAGTAGCCTCAGAAAACCTGAGTCCTTAGCGGGGTACTCCCTGAACCCTCACAAACCTGTTTCATCAGTGTGGACACTTCTAACCATGTCAAATACGTACTCGAATATTTAGTGGATGCCATTCCGTAGCCACGGTTCGTGTCAGACTAAGGTGACTGCCCCAGGAGAAGCTGCCGCTGGTGGAAGATTTAACCGGAAGCTGAACTTCCCAAGCACCAGCCCAGCAAATAGGAAATCGTTGCTGAAGTTAAATTCGCTGGTGCGGATGATAACACATAGTCTCCTGACCTACGGACAGGCTTCGGGGTCTGTTTGCCTTTCGCAGGCTTTAAATTTATTTTATCTCAGACAAACGTCTAAGCTTAATACAACTGATTCTTATTTTTTTTGTAATAGGGGAAGGAATATTTATTAAGCCATTAACAGTCTTCTCACCACGGTGAAGTATTGTTCCCTTATAAAACATTCCTGAAGTGTTGTACAGTGTTTTATTCGAGCCATGTAAAACATTAATAGCAAGAGATGATTACTTTTTAAATGAATGCCGTACATTATAAGAAGCTCATCTGTAAGTGTAGATAAGGCCACCGGTTTTGAAAGGGATGAAAGTACGTAGGAGGCAGGATCCAGCTGAACTGAAGAGAAAGCTTGTCCGTGGGTGGGACCGAGCAGGCAGCCGGGCAGTGTCAGGTTCTCTGCTGTCCCCCCAAAGGTGGCGCAGTGCATACCGGGCCTCGTGCGGGGGAGCCAGCGGGTTGCTGGGGTCCTTGGGAAGCAGGAACCAGAGGGTCCGTCTGGAATGGAGACCTCCCGTGGGAAAGCGGGAAGGGAGGTCTTCCGTGACAAGACAGGTGTCGGATGACTTGGAATGAACGGTCTGCCTCACCCTCCTACCTGACTTTTCATTTCTTTCCCTACAGCCAGTGCTGATTTTCCGTATAATCCAGGTCAAGGCCAAGCTATAAGGAATGGAGTCAACAGAAACTCAGCCATCATCGGAGGTAGGTGACGCAGAGAACGGGCTTCCGGGTGGCTCCTCACCTGTGGGATGTGGTCGTTTTCAAGCGAATCCTAGTCCAGGGGGAAAAACCGAGTTGTCTGAGTTGTTGTGACTCATTTGCTATTTAAATGCGGCTCCAGATTTCGGAGAGCAGATGTGGTTGAGCAGCGGTAAATGCAGCCTGGCTGCTTTCTAGCACAGACTCATGAAAGAATGATAGTGTCCTGTAAGTGGACAGCTGAGGCCATAGCCAGGACACTTCCGTCCCCCCTCCTGTCCTTTCCCACCCCTTCTCTCTCGTCCCAAATAGTCCAGGATAGCTCACCCCAAAAATGGGAAGCGCTGTGCCGGTCCAGTTCAGGGTACCCGGTCTATCCCCCTCTTTTCTGAGCATGGCTACCTGCAGAGTGACCGGACTCCCCCGGCATCGCCCCCCACATTCGGATCAGTATTGATCATTGATAAGCCTGCTGCCCCTGCCCCCTTCTCTCCTGGATTCTGCCTTAGTTCACAGAAGAGTTTCTGCCTCTCTGAGCATAGCATGCATACATACATTTTCTGTATAAATAAAACAGGAGTGTATGTAATGCTGCTCAGTCACAATTCCAAAGCTTGGTATCATCCTTATCCTCACTGTCCCTCGCCTTGTTGAGATCAACTCACCAAAGTGAAACAGGTCAGTGGTCCTGACGCTCCCACACCCCTAACCACCACAGTCGAGATGCAGGACTGTCCCTCCACGAACAGCTCTGCTGTGCCCTCCTGTGGCCCATCCTCCCCCCGTCCCCCTCCCAAGCAGGGCAGCCCCTGGGCTGCTTTTTCTCACACAGATTGCTTTTGCCTCTTTCAGGGTTTCATGGCAGTGGAGTCCCATAGTGTGTGATCTGTTTGCCTCATTCCTTCGTTCCACGTTCCACGGAACATCTCTGAGATCTGTCCCACTGTTGCGTATCAGTAGTTCGTTGTTTCAGTTCCTAGTTTTCCACTTTATGAATGTACCACAGTGCGTTTCATCCACTCACTGGTCAGAAGACGTTTAGTTTGTTTCCAGATTTGGGCTGTTTGGAGTAAAGCTGCTATGAATAGTCTTGTGCAGATCTTGGAAGAACGTAGGTTTTCATTTCTCTTTGGTGAGTTCCAGGAGTGCAATTGCTGCGTGTTACAGATGGTGCGTATTAACTTGATAAGAAAATGATAGTTTTCCAAGATGACTGGACCGTTTTATACTTCCATAATCCATATCCACAGGGTTAAGTTTCTCCAGAATCTCTTCTGCATTTGGTATTGTCAGTTTTCTGAACTTTAGCCACTCAGAGGATGTGCTGGTATCTTGCTGTGGTTTCAATGGGCAATCATCTGATGCCTGGTAATGATGAACATCTTTCGTATACATATTGTCATTTGTAAATCTGTTGTGAAGTGTGTGTCTAAATCGTTCTCCATTAAAAGACTGTTGGATTGTTTGACTTCTTGCTATCAATTTGCAAGAGTTCCTTTCATATTCAGGGTACAAGCTATTTGTCGGGCATCTGAATTGCGGATGTACGCTCCTAGTCCGTGACTTGCCTTTTCACGTTCTCAGTGGTATTTTTTGAAAAGCAGGAGATGTTAACTTCGACAAAGTCCAATTTTTCTAAACTTTTTATAGTTTGTGATTTTTTTAAAAATTCTAAGAAATCTGCCTACCCGAAGGTTGTGAAGATTTTCTTCTATTTTACTGTGTTTTATAGCTTTTGTTTTATTATTGAGCCCATAGTCACTTTGAGTTAATGTTTGCACGAAGCGTGAGATAAAGGTCCAAGTCATCATTTTCCTAATAAATACCTAGTTAGTCTAAGACCACTTGTTGAAAAAAGACAAGATAATTTCCTTGGAACTTTTGGCAAAAATCAGTAACCAGATGGTGTGTGTCTATTTTGTGGACTTTCTATTCTGTTTGTTTGTTTTTTCCATCTATATAACTTTCCCTAATCAGTACCATGCTTATTTAATTTTTGTATCTTTATAGTAAGTCTTGAAATAAGCCATATAAGTTCTCCAATTATTTCTTTTTTCCAAAAGTATTTTCGCTATTCTATATCCTTTGCTTTGCCATATAAAATTTATAAACAGCTTATAGAATTTATAATCAGCTTATAAATTTCTACCAAAAAAATTTTTGCTGTGATTTTCATCGTGATTACATTAGAGCTACAAACGAACATCTCAACAGTATTGACCTTGACCATGGTCCATCCATCCATTTATTTAGATTTTCAGTTTCTCTCAGCAAGGCCCCGTGGTTCTCAGTACACAGTCTTGAGTGACTTTATTCAATTTGTTCTATTATAAATAGTATTATATTTTTACTTCTATTTTCTTAGTGTTTCTTGCTCATATATAAAAATACAGTTGACTGTTATATATTGACTTTGTTTCCTGTGACTTTGCTAAATTCGCTGTTAGTTCTGGCAACACTTTTTTATTCCTTAGAGTTTTCTACATAGATAAGCATGTCAAATGAGCATAAAGAGAGTTTTTACTTCATCCCAATCTGTACTTTTTCTTTTTCTTGTTATATTGCACTGGCTAGGACTTTCAGTGCAATTGTAGATAAAAGTGTTAACAGCTGACATTCCTGCATTTACCATATTTTAGGGAGAATGTCTTTAACCTTTCACCATTAAGGAGGATATTAGCTATAGGTTTCTCATAGACCCCTTTATCAGACTGAGATACTTCCCTCCTATCGATAGTTTCCTGAGAGGTTTGATGATGCATGGGTGACATTTGTCATATGCTTTTTCTGTATCTTTTGAGATGATCATATGTTTTTATTTCTCCTTTGTTTGTCTAATTTGGTAAATTACATTGCTGTATTTTTTAATATTAAAACCATCTTGCATCCTTAGAATTAACACCACTTTGTCATTTTATATATATTTTTTTCACTGTTCACTAACAGTGAATTATATATAATATTATATTTTGTATTGCTGGGTTTCATTTGCTGAAACTTTGCTAAAGAGGAATAATGCCCGACAGTTTTCTTTTTTCATAATGTGTCTGGTTTTGATGTCAGGACATCAAAACAGCCTCATAAAATGACTTGAGTAGGATTTCCTCCTCCCCTATTTTAAGGAAGATGCATAGGGTTAGTATTAGTTGCTTAGGTCAAGTTTGTTACTAGTGTTTTTTAGGCCTTCTCTATTCTTGCTGATCTTCTGTTTAATTGTTCTATCAATTGCTGAGAGAAGAACGTGGAAATCCGCAAGTGTAATTGTAAATCAGTCTAATTCTCAATCCTGCCAGGTTTTGGGGTTGGTTTTGTGTTTTTTTTGGGAGACGGTGGTATCTGAGGGCACCATGGTGAGGTGAGGGGAGGCTGGGGGAGTGGCGAGATCTGCTGACCCTGTCACCTGTCCTGTCTCCTCCAGGCGTCATTGCTGTGGTGATCTTCACCATCCTCTGCACCTTGGTCTTCCTCATCCGGTACATGTTCCGCCACAAAGGAACCTACCACACCAACGAAGCGAAGGGGGCAGAGTCTGCCGAGAGCGCAGACGCCGCCATCATGAACAACGACCCCAACTTCACAGAGACCATTGACGAGAGCAAAAAGGAGTGGCTCATCTGAGGGGTGGCCCTTTGGCGTCGGGGTGGGGGGCGGGAGGGGAGGGAACCAAAGCACCCTGCTCCATACTCTTGGGCACATCCTTGAAAATGTCAGCACAAGTTGGGGGAAGGAAGCAGCAGAAAATTCCTGAGACTGATCGCCACACACACACAAAGTAATACTTTTTAATATTTCTTTATAGCTGAGTTTTCCCTTCTGTATCAAAAAATAATACAAAAATGCTTTTAGAGTTTAAGCAAAGGTTGAAGTTTGTAGGTAATATCTGTTTTATTTTGTGTATGTTTAGAGGTGTTCTAAAAACTCACGGTAACAGGGCAAGTTTTCTACGTTTTTAAGAGCCCTTAGAAGGTGGATATTTTGGTTTTTTTGAGGAAAGCTGATGCACAGACACACGGCCCCCAGCACTCCCTTCCTTTTGCACACAGTCAGCTGTCAATGGGCTATTGCAGCTACTAGTTCACGTTCATACACTGTTCCTTTTGGTGTCCTGTAAATTGGAGAAGGAAAGAGAGGGGCAAAGAGAACCTACTGTTCACCAGTTTTCCAAGAGACCTCAGTCTCTGCCAGTTTTCCAAGCGTTCCGGCCGGAAGCAGTCAGAGAAGGAAGGCGTGTGGCGGCTGTCAGGACCGGCGGCACCACGGACAGACGCCTGCGGTGCCAGGGCAGGTACTTTCCCGTCGGGGTCATCGGTCTCCTTCTTCATCGAATTCCGCGAGAGCGTGTTGTTCCATGTTTGTGGTCCTACACCTGTTCGATCCCTGGACCCACCACTGGTGACCGGCTGTTACTAAAGATTTCTCCTCGGCTTTACCTGCAGCGTACAGGCTCACCCTCCACGGGTGTGCACGCACCTCGCGGGGGAATCAGAACCAGATGTCGCGATTCATTTGCTCTGTGTCTCTCTCGTAGTTGTAGCAAGAGTGCCGACACTTCCCAGTGAATGCGGAAAGTAGGTGGCCCTCATTTTGCTTTCAGTGTCTAGTGTTTAAGTCCCCGTGACAAAATCGCAGACAGGGACCAGACACTCCACATTAAAGCCAAGTCATGACTGCTGTTATTATTTATGTTCTCCCGAATCATCAGGGGAAAGCACTGCCCTGTGTTACGTCATCTGCTCCCGGATCGTCCCACCTGCAATGGACACGCTGCCCTGGTCCCGGATCTTCTCTGGCAGATCCGTCCGCAGCTCTGGTCCAGCACCAGCCCGGTCGCCGGCCATTGCTTCTCAGAGAACGCACCTGTCTGGTCAGTCACCCCTCGGTTCAATCAGAAATCGTGACCAACTTATCTCAACAAATAACTCATTGGTTTTATTTAAAAAATAATAGTGTGCAAACCAGTGGGACAAAGCTCCTCTTGGAACAGCTGAAAAATAATCATTTCATTTATTTAATAAAAGATTGCATAGAAGTCATTTCTAGAATAACTACCATTTATAGTCATTGCAGTTCAGGCTCTTGGGCTTAATCAATGCTTTTTAAAATTTCTTTAGACTCCCAACGTTCGATCACCTTCTCCCTTCTCCTGCTAGGTGAGATGAGGTAAAAGGTATGGATGCTATTTTTCTGATAGCCTTCCTCAGTAAAATGGAAATTCTAGTTTGCTTGGGTTGTACGTGCACACTTTTCAAGATACGTGGTATATGCCTAACTTACTGCAGGACCTCAGTGTCTCGAGCAGGTATAATGTCACCCACACCTTCCAGGCACGTGACACAGGAACGTGGCACATTCCACAGGAGGCTCTGGGCCCGTTCAAGTCAGGTGACAGACCCAACGGGAGCCCGAACACCCTTGCAGTTGCTGACCTCAGGCACTTTCATGGACCCCCTTCTCTGAGAACAGTCTTGATCCCCCTTCCATAAAGCGCATCACAAATGAGAAGCAGTGAACGGGACCGAACATCAGAGCTGAGGGTCTGACACGACCCTGAAAGCAAAGGCCATCGACTGAACCGAGGTGACTGCCATTCGTGGTTCTTGCATTACTGTCCAACTGAAAAAGCGAATTTTAGACGGTACGTTTAAAGGTTTCCAATTCCTAACAACCACAATTTTTAAAAAGGCATTACCTTCGCACTTGACAAATCATGACGGACATTGATTACTTCCTGCGTTTCCCTCGATGGTTCTGTTCTCTCTGCGCTGTCTCAGCACTTCCCCTTCCTCCCCGGGACGGTTAGGGACCGAAAACAACCAAAACGTCCTCTGATGCTGAAATGCCCTCAGCCTTCCTCTCTCCTCTCTCCTTTCCACTTTCCTGCTACAGAATGTTAAAGGCAATACCCGACGCTTCTCCAACCAACTTTCCACACCAAGGGCACTGGAATGCCTGCCGGGATCACCGTCACTGGGGACGTTTCCCATGCACAGAGGTGTGACAATCTCTGCCCTTCAGGGGGTCACCCTCCAGCCAGCAGGCAGGGCACAGAAAGGTGGATGAGGTACTAAGGGTCAAACGATGCTGGAACTCTTGGCTTCTCTTTGGACTGTGGGCTTCGAGGTAGCTCCGCCAGCCGCAGTCCCCAGAGTCTTGACACCCACCATGCCATTCGTCATCGATCAAGCACAAAAGGCCAAGGGCAGCGCATCTTTGCATAATAAGAACAGACAAAAAAACAAAAAAAATAAAAGTTTTTTTAGAGCTGTTCATACAGGAAACATCTTCTGTGTACAAAGCAAGCACCTATGTTTTGAGAAGCCAGGAGTGAGGACTTAGCATGATGTGAAACCAGTGCCATCATAAGCTCTCAAAATAAGATATTGCCTGGAACTCAAGGGAACTCGCCCCATTTTATGGTGAAGCTCTGCTCTGGCCCTTCTTTGTAAGACTGTATCTTCTCTCGTGGCTTTCAACCAACCGCTCAGAAAAGCGATTCAGGTGAGGTGGATGCTGAAGAGCTGTAATCGAGGGTGTGGGGCACCTCTGGCGGGAAAGGCCCTGTTGCTCCGCACTTGACAGATGAGCAGCCTGGACCACCGGGGGCAGGAATTCAGGGGCACGAGAGAAAGGCTTGGCGCAAGCCGAGGGGACTTCGTGTGACTGTGGAACCAGCAGGCGCCAGTGCAGAGCGGGCACAGAGCCACCCGCCGTGTCCGACACGCACTGGAGGGGAAGCCGTCAGCCACCAGACATGAGAGCGCAGCATCAGGGTGAGGTCGGGGAGAAACTTGGACCTCCTTCTATAACGGGATCAGCACTTTTCTAGTCTTCCACTTGTTCCTACAGCGTAAATGTTTTCCTGGCTCCTTTATGTCTCCCGCCTACAAACACTTAGCGCCTGATCTGAACCTCTTCCCATGTTCTCCTTTTCACCATCCTCCCAAGCTGTTTTCAGAAAGAGGGGCAGCAGGTTACCAAATTGAATTATTAATTTGAACTCCAGTCAGCCAGCCACAACAGGTCACAAGTGCAAGTCCGGAAGTAGGTAGGAAATCAGTGGGCACCATTTTTTAGTGATATCTGGGGAGCGAGGACCCCAGTAGGGTCCTGACCCCTCTCTCTCTATCCCTGCCTTGCTGTGTGACCTTCGCCAAGTCGCTGAACCTCTGTCCTCCTTCACCGGGGTTTGAGTCGCCGCTGTTTTACATGTGACACTCCTAAGAGGCGCTGATTCTTGACCGCAGAACACCAAGATGCAGAAGCACAGGCCCGAGTCCGTGACACCTCGCAGAGACACTTTCTGGCCTGCGGTTGTGAGCCACACAGCTAGAAGCCACGTGTCCAGGAAGGAGGAGCCATGCGGGGCGTTGCTGCGCAACAGCGAAGTTATTTACGAGGTGCGCTGCCGTCAGCACAGCGGGGAGGCCACGCACAGAGCCCAAGGCCAGAGAAACCGGGCAGCGCCCACCTGAAGCCCCCGGGTCCCCCTGCGTGAGCCTCCCTCCGTGTGATTGGCTGGGACATGAGACAACACGAGAAACAGATGCGGCTCTTTGCAGAGCCTGCTGGTAACGTTGGAAACCCCGATTCCTCTCCCAGCAGCGTTTCCTGGAGACAGGCGGGATGCGTGTGTACCAGCTCGTCGATGGAATGGGGAAGCCGCGTCGGACAGCCAGTTAACTGGGCTGAGCAAAGACCGGCAGAGGCGTGAACGTCCGACGTGCGCCCACAGGTTTGTTTTCGGAGGAGATTTCAGACCAGGCCTCTGTAGACCGTCTGCACCACTTCCGAGCCTCCGCTGCTTTGCAGCGAACGCTGGACCGCGGTGGCCACGGAAACACGGAAGCCCCCCTCCGGGAGGCCCTGACGTGGTTCTCAGTGTCACTGATCCCGAGATTTGTTCCTGCGGGTTTTCCATGCGTTCGGTGTGCACGGTGACTACGGAGGTCGGCATCGTGAAAAGCTGGGCTACATATTCTTTCTGTAAAGTCAGGAGGGGCTCCGTCCCTGTGAAATAACACGGAATTTCACTCTCTAAAAGCAACAGCATGTAAACTAGAATGAACGAAGGGAATTATGTATGTATGTATGCCTAATATTCTTTGTGAATGTCTTTCATTTAACTAAAATTATATTAGACACCAGATTGATAAATAAAAACAAATCCAAAATAGTTTTAATTATCCTAAAAGTGATTCTTTGTGTTCTGTTCAACTACGATTCTCGTAGAGGCCACCCTCAGCCTTCAGCTAAGGCAGCCCCAAGCCCTGAGTGTACATGGCCTGCGAATGTAATCCTTCCAGAAGCTGGGGAGCTACAGCCCCTCCCAGAAGATGGGTATTACGTGAACGCACCCACTGCGAGCCTGCCTTGGCCACTCCTTCCTTTCCTCTCACATTGTTCTCAAAGAAGCTTGTTGGGTATCAGCTTCCTGTTTGGGTTTAGTGGACACACGGCTTGATAAAATGTGGTTGGAGCTCAGCGAGGTCCAGAGTGCATTCTGAGCCTTATTTGAGTGAGCAGGTAGCACTGGCTGATGGACACATGGACGCAGGCCAGTGGACTAGACAGCTGGGACGTGAGCCGCGTCTGGAGGTGCGAGTCTTCCTAACGGTACGTGGTGTGTGGCAAGAGCTGCCGTCCTAACTTATTACTCCCACTTTCTAGTCTTCTGTTACCATTGGGAAGCCACTTCCTTGAATCGGTTCTCCGTGGAGCCTTTAAACGTACACCCAGTGGTGTGAAGGCCAGTAGGTAGCTAGAGCACCGCTGTCTATTCAGAAGGCGTCATGCCGTGAGGTTCTTGGTCATGATTCTGCTCCCAACAGGTGCAGGGAGAATGTCATCGAGTCCCTTAAGAACAAGCAGTGAGCCCTTCTAAAAGTTCCTGACTAACCCGTGTTGAAAGGTGCAGCCAGCAAGGCCAGGCCTCGCTGTCGGCATAAGAGCGTTAGAGCCCAGATGTGCCAACTTCCTTCCCCACGATATGGAGGCTGGTGAGTTCCAGGAGGGGGGAACTTTGCTTTGCATAAGTCAATGTTTGTTAAATGATGGGGTGAGGGGCAGGGAAGGGTAGAAGGGGGAGTGGCTGGGGGCACGTGGAAGAAAATGTATCTAATTTGATTTTTTATTGGTGACGACATGGCACGATGGACTTATCAGAACACAGAAAAGAGGAAATAATTGTATTATTATTTTCTGAGGAAGGGTTGTGTCCTTCAAAGGAGCCCCTATATGAAAGCTAACTCTTTAAAGCGAGTCTTGGATAAGCAGCTGTTGGTGTGGGCCCACCTTCCGTGGGTCACTCTGAAAACCCTGAATTCAGTGAATTCAGCGAAACCTGGGCTGGCCCTGTACCGAATGATCCCTGCCAGCCAGCAACCGCTGTCCCCTCCACCAGCAGCTGGCCAGGAAGAGAGCTCCGGGGTTTGTTTTCTGATCCCGAGTCCTCGGTCTTTCCCTTCGTCTTAATCTACCCTCTGGGCATGTGGGGAAACAAACCTGTAGGTCAGGTCTCCACCAAAGGAGTGAAATGAGTGGTTTTTAATGTGCCCTGAGTGGAAGCATGAGAAAGCGAGTCATTTCTCCTGAAAATAGAAACTCGACTGACAACATTTAAATCAAGATGTGACAGAGATGATAAAGGCCAGGACGGTGAAAATAATGAATTTATTTTGTGTTCACAAAGAGAAATGGGGGAGGTAAAATTCTTCAGTCCGGCAGGAAGGCGATGGCTGAAAGGGGACACACCGGGAGCCTGCTCCCCGGGACCTGGAAGAGCGGGACCTGGGAGGCCGGAAAGAAAGCACATTCAGAACAAACGAAGGCAGTGCCGGCTCCCGGGGCAGCTAGGAAGGAGTGTTGCAGGCAAAAACAAAAACAAATTATCTTCCCAAAATGATGGAGGCCATTTCCCTAATTACCCCACTCCATGAATTTTAAAGGGAAATCAAATCAGGGGCCCAACGTATATAATGAGTGTGTATGGAGTCCCTCCGAGGATGGGGCGTAGCGCTCTTGGGACTCGGATGGTTCGCTGGAGACGGAGACAGGCACGTCCCTGCTCGCATGGAAGGCGGGTTCCAGCAGGAGGAGAAAGGCACTAGGCCAACAAATAAATACTCGAGAAAACCGCACTTCTAGGCAGGAAGTTAGTTCATTTGCAGGGACACTGGGACCTCAGGCTGCACCGTTACTGTGGTGGGTGGTGAGGGAAGGCCCCCCTGAGGAGGGGCCGCGGGGCGGAGACCTGGAGGACGGCAGCCTGGCGAGGATGAGAGAGGCCCTCGGTCTGGACGAGGGAGCAGCGGGTGCAAAGGCCCTGGGGCAGCAGTGAGCGTGGGGTTTTAGACACTGTGAGGGCCAGTATGTCTAAAACCCCACTGACCGGGTGAGGCCCACCCCCACTGAGGTTCTAAATGTTAATCTCACCAACAGAATAAACACCCTCACAGCGACATCCAGACTCCTGTTCGACCAACGACCCAGGCACCAGAGCCCGGACAGGCGGACACGGAAAACCAACCATCAGAGAAGGTGCCTCTCGGGCACCCCGGGGCAGAAAGCAGAAATGTTTGGATTGTTTATGCGTTTGAGGGAAGAGGCAAATCATTTAGTCTTTCCTTTCCAGGTGTGTCAACAGAGACTCCCAAGTTCAGCTAAAATCGCACCGTCTCAAGCGAACGACGACTGGTTCCTTGACAGGATAGGACACCTGAAAGTGTGGCAGAAGTAAGGCAAAGGTGTCAGGGCTGGGGAGTCCCCCAGGGGGGTGAGGCCATCAGGCTGGAGGTGGGGCAAGGGGCCAGGTGCCCAGTGGCGGAGTGCCCGGCCTGTGCCCTTCTGCCGGACTGCACTCCCTGGCTTCCCCATGGCCTGGCCCCGTGGGGACACTGTTTGCCTTCAGGGGACACCAGAGGTTTAGGCAGCTTCCCAGTCCAGACGTTGCTGAGGGGCGAGGACAGGGTCCCTGTGGCCTGTGGGGCAGGCAAGGGTCCTCATGCCTCAGACTCGGCCCACTGCTCCCCTCCTCCCAGCTCATTCCAGGGGACAGGGGCACCCAGTCCTAGAACACCCTGAGGCTCAAGGGCACATTTATGGGGAATGTAGGGGCCTCCAGGGCCACCGAAGGCCTCCGGGGGCACTTGGAATTTACATCATGCACTGTGGCTGCCTCGGCCCGAGAACAGATCAGAATGAGCCCTACTCTGTAGCGTAGTGAGCAGGGGTGGGGACCGCCCCAAATGCCACCCGCGTCCCCACCACAGGGAAGTGGCTCCGGCCCACAGTGGACACCAGTCTCAATACAGATCTGAGAGCTGAGGTGGGGTGGCCTGGCCAGGCCCCCAGGGACTTGGAACTCAGAAGCAACAGAATCAATTGCGGTGGTGCTTGTGTCCAACACCATCTGTGTCCCAGGGCCGCTGTAACAAATGCCTGCAAAACAACAGAAATGTATCCTCTCCCAGATCCGGAGGCTGGGAGTGGGGGATCCAGGTGCCAGCCGGGCCCTGCTCGCTCCCTAACGGACGCAGCAGGGGCGTCCGACCCGCGGACCGCATGCGGCTCAGGGTGGCTGTGAATCCGGCCCAGCACAGAACCATAAACTTACTTAAACCTTCACGAGACCTTTTTGCGATTACGTGTCGCAGTGTGTTTAATTGTGACCCAGGACGACGGTTCTTCCTCCAGTGCGGCCCAGAGATGCCAAATGTTTGGGCTCCCGTGTAGGGTCCTTTCTCCCTCCTCTAGCGTCCGGCAGCCCCAGGCTTCCCTTGGCTTGCGGCTGCGCAAGCCACCCCCCGCCTCTGTCTTTAGGTCGGTCTTCACACGGCCTTCCTCTCCGCCTGTCTCTGCCTTCTTACAAGGACACCAGTCATATTGGGTGAGGGACACCCTACACCCGCGTGACCGGCTGTCAGCTGATTTCATCTGCAGTGGCCACCTTTTCCGAATAAAGTCACATGCACGGGTACCGGGAGTCAGAACTTCACTGTGTCTTTCTGGGGAACACTGTGTCACCCCCAAACCATGATCATACGGTCTTTCTTGACCGGTGTTTTCACAGGTGACACCGGACACAGCCACGCTGCACACTTCTGAACAGTCCCCGTGTGCTCGGGGTCTGCATTCTGCCGTTTTACTTTTCCCTGCTACTGGACGTGTAGGGAGCGTCTGGATTCTCCCTGTCGTGACATTGCTGTGAAGAGCATCCTCGTGAATAGATACCGTTTTTCCACCGCGACTTTTTGATACGTTCCTAGACATAGGAGGCTTCGACACCGGTATGTCCGTTCATCTGCTTCGCATGAAGTGCCAAGAGGTCCCCCCGAGACTTCAGCAGTTTACACTCCTCACACCCTCATCAGCTCCAGGCATTAGCTTTTCTCCGTTTCTGCCAACTCACCAGTTGGAAAATGCCATCCGAATATTAACCTAATTTGCATTTCGCTGATTACTGATGAGGGTAAACAGCTTTTCAGGTGTTATTAGTCCTTTGAGAACTCCCCATGGGATGAGATCATTTATGAGGCTCTTGATCATTTTTTTTCCATTTGCACCGATGCACAGGCCCACCAGCAGTCTCTGCGGGCGGCCGCCGGGTTCAGAGAAGGGGGTGTGTGTGTGAGGTGGCCTGCCTGGGGAAGACCCAGCCAGGGAGGCCCCCGGGCTCTGCAGGGTTGGAACAGAGGGCACCTTCGTCAGTAAGAGCGGGTTGTGTTTAAACCTGAGGGTGAAGGAGAAGGAAGGTGTCCAGGCTGAACAGGAAACAGCAGAGATAAGCGAGAACCGGAGACAATTCAAGTCAACAGCACAGGACGAAAGAACCAGGGCAGGTTCTTAAGCAAAGGGGCAATTTACAACTGTGGCCTTCCTTGTTTGATCAGATGATTACATTTTCAATGTGTGCGGCGTTGCTAAAACATCTGTTTCGATTTTTAGGCTTCTCTCTTGCCCGCCCAGTCTCCCAGGCCCGCATCTGTTCGACTCCCTTCCACAAGCACAGTGTCTCCCACACCCGAGCACCCGACCCCGCATGCTTGCTCACGCTCACTCACACGTGCACACTCACACCGTCGTACACATGCACACACCTCACACTCTCCGCCACGCCCTGCTTCCCTCAGGCCGGGTGCCCTGCTCCACTCCTGCCGCTGCCCGGCCCCTGCCCAG